AAAAAAAAAGAACTGGGGATGTAGCTCAGTGGTAAAGTGCTCTTGGGTTCAATTCCCAGTACTGAGGGTAGAGGGTGGGGAGATGTGTGTCTGTGTGTGTGTGTGTGTGTGTGTGTGTGTGTGTGTGTGTGTGTTTGTGTTTGCACATACATATAATTTCCTTAAATCTAGAACACTGAAAAATAGTACTAGGAATCTAGAGAGCTTCCTCTGTATTAGAACCAAAGAAATAAGAGAGGCTTAAATTAGTGTGTTGAAATCCCACACAGAGCAGTAGCTGATATGCACTGGTGACGCTATGTTTTGTTTTTTTGGGTTGTTTGGTCCGCAGTTTGCATTCATTGATCAGTGAGTCAGCTCAGATTCAAACCCACCGACAGCAATGAATGTTGAGTGCAGCCATCAGTGTTTCCAGTCTGTGGAGTTGCCTTTGTCCTCCCCAACTCCTAGCTCTTCTTTTCCACACTGGTTCTTTGAAGTCTGTTTTTGTCTTAGTAATCAGCTGTCTGCATGGTTGCCAGTTCACATAAAGCTGGGTAATTTCTTAAAGGTGGAAAAACTGTGAGAAGGAAAGAGCTCCTAGAGAACCTCACAGGTAGCTCTGTGACCATATAGGCGGTACCTGTATGTATTGGTAACTGTAAACCAGAGCTCAGGGACCCTGCTTATGTTTTGCTTTCTGTGTCACACTTAGAGCTATGAGTATTTTTTTCAAGGTAATTTAGCACAGATTATGTTTGGAGTTACATAATAGGGTTCATATCTAAAGCATTTGCTGTGTGCTAGGAATGGTTCAAAGCAACTTAAATATATTATTTCTTTGAATCTCAAAACTTCATGAGGTAGGTTCTCTTATTCATTTTGTACATTAGAAAATAGATTTAGATACTTGCTCAGTCACACATCTAGTTAGAGGGTTGAGCCAAGATTCATTCTGGATCTGATTCCAGAGCTAACTTTTTGCTTGAATTTAAGAAGCATTTAATAAGCATATGTTGGTATGGAAATAGTGAGGCAATAGCTCATAGTGAGCTGTTAAAACTTAACCACATAAACTAATTGGAGTTTGGATGTGATAAGTACTATATAGATATTGGACAATTTTGAGCAGTTTTGCTGATTAAATCATATCTTTGCCCATAGTGGAAATTTTTGAGGGAAAATGGAAGAAATGTGCATAAAATATTTGACTAGGTTTTATTCCAAATTTATTTTTAAAAATTTCTTCTTGATGTTGATATATCATATTTCTTACCAGATGTGTATTTCTAGGGGGCATTAAATATAATAGTAGGTCCTATCATGGAGCTCTCTTAACCTTGTTAAAATGAATCACTCTGTAGTCAAAACACAGCAAAAAACAAGAAACAATGGGTAATTCAAATAGATGGGGGACTTTAAAAAAAATTCACTTTGGGGGACAGGCTGCAGGACTGTTTTAAGGTGATTTCATGTAATGTGCGAACAGATAGCCTACTCCTTTACTTCAGGATATATAGTGTTGTTTGTAAGGATCCCAAGGTACAGTCAACGGTCGGTGGTTTTTTTAAATCCCAAACTCACCGACAGCGTTGAATGTTCCATGGAGTCCTCTTAAGGCTGGCCTGGTGGCCCTTCTTCAGCCTGCACTTGTGTTCTGAGGGCTATTGAGCACTGAGACTGATGGAGGCTCATACATTCTTTTCCAGGTTTTAACTGAGAATATTCAAATTATGAAATTAGTTTGTATACAGCAGAGAGGTGGTGAACAGTAGGACTATAGGTTGTAATAATTTATATACAAGCAGACTCAAATGGATATCTGATTAAATGGCTTTGAATGGATTTATTTTGTAAATTTGAAGATGGCAGATACTCAACTTTAGCATAGTATTTTTATTATTAAGGGATAAGAAAGAAATTAACATTAGGGACCTATTTGTAAATAGGCTTGTATTTGTAAATCCCATTAAATTCCTAATCCACATTTTCCTGGTTAAAAAAAACCTGATCTTTATTAAAAAAAA